CAGGCCGCCGCCGCTGCCGCCAGTGCCAGGCCCACCTCACCTGCGCTTACCCCAGCAAACGCAACTGCTGCCCAGCTCCTCACCGCAAACACTCAGAAGGATGCCAGCGCAAGCGGCCGCTTCTGGGGTGGTGCTAGCACCGGCATGCGCCTGGGCATGGGCGGAATCACACCCGTCCATCGCGTCGTGCTCCCAGAAGTCTCGGTCGCGGACCTGCTATTAGGTCAGTTTGGTAATGCCAACGCGGTGGTACGCGAGGAGAAGCTCCAGGAGAACCTTAACCCACTCCTCAATGGCCCGCCTGTGGTGTCGTCGACCAAGCAGGACGTGAAGAACGTCCTGGGATTCGACGGGTTCGCAGATGTCAACCCGTTCACAATGAAAACCCTCGATGCGTATGTAATTTCTCTTTCTTATCAACTCATATCTCAATGTTTTGCCGCAGGTACCGCATGCATCTCTGGGGCAAGATGGCGGCACAGCACCACACCCACCAACAGCTGCAGCAACAGCAGCAACACCAACAACATCATGCTCATCTTACAGGACTTGCCTCGTCGTTGCGCCCAGCATTCTTCTCGGCACCCACCACACCCGCGACATCGCTCTCTGCACTCCTCTCAGGGAAGCACACACCGGCCGCGGCACCGCCATATACACTCCCGACGCCGTCGACGCCGCCCCCGCCATACCAGTCAGCACCCCCTTCGCCTCTCATCGGCCTTGGCAAAAGCGGCGTCGCCGAGAAGCTCGAGCGCGAAAAGGAGCGCGAGCGGGAGAGGCAGAAGGAGAAGGAGACTGCGATGTACGCGGCGCTCGCCAGCCAGACGCTGCTACGCAAACTGGGGAGTGCCTTCTGGGACGCGTTCTCCGGGGGCGCTGGCCCCGTTGCGTCCGGCAGTGGTAGCGGTGCGAGTGCGAAGGCATGGGACTCGGACAAGGTCCGCCGCGTGCTGGAGGGCAAGGCCGTCGTGCGGGTCGTCGACATCGAAGAGCCGCCTCCCCCGCGCGCCCCCAGGTCGCCCACGCCCGCCGCTGTCGAGAATATGCCGAGAAAGTGTACTGTGTCATGTGCTGTGTCAGATATTTTAGAAGAGAGTATGCGGAGCTTGAGCATCGGCAAAAAGGCATAGAAGTAAGTTTCGGTCTTGGTTTCGATTTTTTGGTGTGTTATTTTTTATCAATGATTTTCTTGGGCAGGGAGCTGATAGTGTTTTTGACAGGATGAACAACAACAATGTACACAACCTGCGCGATACAACGCGTCCGTAGGGTTCGCTTCCTTCCTCCCGAGTCTCCTTTTCGGTGTACCATACGTACTTACATACAATTTACAACATAGCATGAGTAATATCCCTTTCGTCTTCTAACGCTCCTTCCCCTTTTCTACCTCTACCTATCTAATTTCGCAGTCTGCATAGGCGCGTTACTCTCTTTCCACTCCGCCTCAACCTTCCTAATTTCGCCCTCTCCCTCGTTTGCGTTCGTGGATCGAACTTTGTGCTAGCCCCTATCCCTAGTTTCTCTGTCTCTGTCTGTTCCTCTCCGCATTTCCTTTAAGTCCTACTGGGTCGGAACAGTTGAGACGACCTGGCTGGACACAACCCCCTCCCCTCAGCATGCATCCGTCGAATTCGAAATACGGAGTTCAGATCGCATATTCTATATCTACTTGCATACGTAGCAATATCATTAGCATTGCATATACCTCGAGTACAAAATACTCTGAATCTCTAAATTTACCTCGTAGGCTCAACTGACTGCAAAATTAAGTACGCGAGTTGCAACTTCTGTACCTATGGAAACTCCATCACTTGAATAACGGTGATTCCACCACAATGCCTGGGACCTAGGTTCTGACCAGCCTGAGATTGCGAGCCGCAGGGACGTCCGTCGTTTTCCCATATTTTTGTTGCGCAGGACAATACATGTTTATGCTTGTTTGCACGTCCTTTTCTCAACCCTGCATGACGCACCAAGGCCCTTCAGGCAAACCTGTTCCTCACTTCGTGGCTTGCGAATCTCTAGACTTCTAGGCTGAAAGCCCTGCGAAGTGCGATTGAAATCGTACAATGTGGAGAAATAATGAGGGGGCAAGATTACACCTCAAGCCAGAATCTGATAAGTATCGCTGTCTGTTACAAGGAAGGCTTTAGAGAGCAAGAAAGGGAGGCTCCGCGGGCATCTGAATCTCGAAATCGTGCGTCTGAACATTGCCTAGTTTTGAACAATGACAGAATTTAGCGTCGTCGTCACAGGGCCGCGTAGCGTCGAGGGATCTTCGGCGTTTGCGAGGACAATGTCCGCACGTGGTATTCAAACTCCGCATTGTGGCCCGAAAAGGAAATTGCTGGCAGGTTTGTACTTTTCTTTTGTGCGTAGGACAATGGCAACCTTGTTATTAAAAGAGATGGGCCAGCAGACATGGCTTCTTCGTTCTATCCTGCTTCTGGATTACCAACTCCTCACGAACTCTCATAAGCTTCAATATCATAGATCGCAACGACCTCAATCATGAACACTTCCACTGTCTCCAACTGTGAGTACCCCTTTGGCTATTTCCCTTCTTTCAAAGCTCAACATTTTTTCTGCAGTCTTTTCACGCGACTTGTTCCTTCGTCGTCAAGTACGCACACATAAGCGTCCGACGCACACTAATTTATGCCCTTCGACATCTTCAACAAATAAGCCTCTTCCCATGATAATGGAGGAGGACGAGCCCCGGCCTTCCTTCGCCTCGCTCTCAAGGTCTCCCTCTCCCGCAACTTATGCACCCAGCACACCGACTCAAAAGTCGAAACGGAGACACGCCAATTTGACGGTGTCAGATATCCGACTGGCTAGGTCGGCACTTGTACACGACGACAGCGACTTCACACAACAAAATTCTCCGCTGCTGTCCTCTCCACGACCTGCTCCTCGTCCCCCGGTAGCAACGCCGAGCCCCGAGCCCAGTCCAGACCCGTTCAGCCTCCAATTTCCAGACGGGTCGCTCAGATTCCCTCACCCGCCAATCCCGACACCGTCATTGTTTGCTACCTTTGAGCAGCATCGTACCGGGTCTGAATCCCCCACCCCTTCCATGTCTTCGTGTTCTTCGACTAGCCCAGAGTCTCGCTCTACGGGCCTGCCGACAACACCATCTTCCTCTGATGACGAATTCTTTTCTTACTACTCTTCGCCTCTTCCCTCATTCAACGCCCGCCGGGTCTCAATAAAACCCTTGGTCATCACAAAGCATCACTCCATGTCATCACCTTCCGAAAATTTCCCCTCTATTTCGACCTCACCGTTCAAGAACGCCAATGAGACGACTGCCCTTTCCCCGCTTTTCGAGGAAAACACAGACGAGGAGGAGTCAGACTCCGAATGGTACAACCAGGAGTTCTCCAAGATTCTAACTCTATGCTCGCCTCTGCCACCTATCGCTCAAAAGTCGCGGCCAGAATCACTTTGCGTTCCAAGCAGCTCAACTTCTTCGACTCCCCCAAAGACGACGACGACGCGTCCCCGTGGATTCCCGAGTGCTCAGCTAGACCCGGCCTTCCCGCGCCGCCGCAGTCGAATCATCCCTACATACCCCCCTCCCCCCGTCCCTGTTGTGCCCGAGCACCTCCGCTCGCCCCCAGCGACGCCCCCCAAACCTTCCCGAGCCCGCTGCAACGCCCTGACTCTGACTCCTCCCCCAGTCCGCCGCCCGCCTCCGCGCTCCAGCATCCCCGCCGACTGCGTCCTGGTTGACGAAACATTCACGTTCTCCGACGACACCGCCTCTACGTTTTCTCTATCCCTGTACGATAGCTCCCCTTCCCCCGCGGCCGCCGAAAGCCCCAAGAGCTTCTACTCCCAACAGTCCTTCCAACTGCCCGCCTCCCCCCTGCCTCCGTCCTTCCCATCCACGCCAGTGCACTCCTCCACCGAATTCGACTTCCCCGTCGGTGTCGACGAACACGAGATCCAATTCGCCATGGACATGGACATGGACCGCCCGATGCTGCTCCCTCTCTCCCTCCCCACCTCGCCCATCGACCTCGCACGCGACATCGCCACCGGCCTTGAAGCGCTCCGTGCCGCGCCCCAGCCGCAGCACCCGAGCCCGGCCACCCACGATGCCAATGTCGTCACCGCCCCCGCCCGCACCTCCACCAAGCAACAACGCCGGCGCCCAGACGCCGACTCGGACTCGCGGGAACTGCGTTCCCGCTGGAGCTCGTCGACGCTCGGCTCGATCCACGAGGAGCACGCGCGGCGCACTGGCACCAGCAGCGGGCTCGGCGGTGCAGCTTCTGCGAAGCTGCGCGCGGTGTTCGGTGCGCTTCCTGCCTCACCCGGGCCCAAGACCGTGCGCATGCGCACGAGCCGGCGCTCGGACTCGGTTTCTGGTGCGGGATCTGCGATCCCCCAGACTCCGGTGACACCGACGTCGCCTGCGCCCGGGAAGCGGTTTAGGCATGCGCGGAGGGAGTCGGATGTCATGGCGCTTGGGTATGGGTATGTGCCTGTGGTGTCTCCCCTCAGGAGGAGAGGCAGCACGTCCCCGAGTGTCAGTGATGCTGGGAGCGAGGAGAGCGCGTCGAGTGCTGGGAGCTCTGGGTTGAGGAGGAAGCCTATCCCTGTGGAGATGTTCTTGCGCTCGGCGTGAATGTCTGCCATTCTACAGACTTTTAGTATCATCATCATCATCATCATTTTACTACTCCTACTACTACCTACTAACCGCATTGTTATCCAAGTTATCTTACATTCGTTTTTGCTAATTTCTGCTTTGCACCCCATCGCTGTGTTACTATTTCATCTTTTGCATTTGAACCTTGAACTTTGAAAACATATGTAGCATTAACTTATTATACAAACCATCTGTAGAGCTGTATTATTAAACATTCTCAATCAATCGACCGTACTTGACGGATTTGAAGGCCACATTTGAGGTGCATAGGTGCGCCACAAGAAGAAAAAAGTAACTATGGAGCTTGGAAAAATGAGGAAAGCTCCAGTTGTCAACACCGATGGTGAAGTGGTTATCATGCTTGCCTTCCATTCATATTCTATTCATGTTCCATTCGTGGTTCAGCAAGCGGCAGGGGTTCGATTCCCCTTCGGTGTAATTCGTCAAGAATACCCAGTTTTTCTTACTCAAACCGCGAGTCCAATCCTCAGCATGCATGACATTGTATTGTTATCCATTTTTGTATCGAAAGAACGGCGTGGAAAGTACCAAGTAGTAATAGATGGTGTGAACATGAACGGTATGCGTATGCGTGTATGTATAGTAAGGATAGATATAAATGTGTAGCTACAACCACGGCTCGAATAAAAAATTCCGAGATTAAAGGGTACGTGAATATAGATCCAGGATTCCGCCTAATAAAGAGGGGAGACCAGGAAAGGAAGAGGAGATCCAGCGCTGTCAAGACCCCGCACCCCCACTGATCAACCCCCACGGCCCAGGTATCCCAAGCCTGCTCTTCCCCGTCCCCGTCCCACTACGCCCACTCCCACCCCGCGACCCAGCAAGGAACCCCGGCAAGTTCTCATCCTCATCCTCACCCAAGCCCTCCGAGCTCCCCTTCCGCGCGCTCCTCCTTACCCACCCGCGGCCCCACTCCTCCGTGTCCGGCGCCTCCGCAATGCCCTGCCGCCCGTCCCGCGCTCCCCTCGGTCGCCTATGACCAGCTTTACTCAGCTTCGCACCCGCACGGGCACCAACACGGGCACCAGCAGCCTCCTGGTTCGCGAGATGCTTCCGCAGGCTCTTGATCGACTGCTGCCGTTTCGGGTTGACGAGCATGCGCGCTAGGTCCAGTTCACCCTCATCCTCGTCCTCATCCTCGCTCGAGTACAGCAGCCGCTCCTCCCCACCCGCACCCGCACCCGCACCTGCATCGTCGTTCGACTCGGCCGGCATCCCCCACCCACTGAGATACCTATTCCTATTGCCTCCCCCTCCCCCGGTACTAGTAGTAGCACTACCACCCGTCCCCGCCCAAACATCCCCCTCCACACACGTATTAGCCAAACTCGGCAGACGATCCTTCTCCTTCTCCGGCACACGCCCCCTCCCCCTCCCCCTTCCCCGCTCCCTGTCCTTATCTTTACCCGTCCCCTTACCCTTCCCCACACCCCCCCTCTTCTCCCTCTCCCTCTCCCTCGCGCGCTCCCGCTCGCCCTGCCGCCCCGCCCCACGCACAACCGACCCCGCCCGACTCGCAGGCGCACTCCGGCACACCACACGCGTGTGGCTCACCTCGCCCTCGCTCATCCCCGCGCGCCCGCGCCCGATGCGCGCAAACAGCTCCGGCGGCGCGAGGTACCCGCTCGCATCGGTGCTCCCCCCGCCCGCAGTGTTCGTGTTCGTCTGGTCCGAGAGCCCGCTCCTCTGCGTCTGCGTCCGCTGGGCCATCTTCGCGCGCTGCACGGGGGACGTCTGCGAGAGCGAGCTGCGCGTCGGGCGGAGGGTCCGTGTGCGCACCGCCAGCGATTGTGATTGCGATGAGTGGGACGCGTGAGGCGTAGGCGGCGACTCGACGACGACAGGCGGCAGGTGCGGAGGCGGGGGAGGGCCGCCGATGTACGCGCCCATGCCACCGAAGAGCACTGCGCGCGCGACGCTCTCGAGCCACGTCCGCGGGAGTGGCGGGTCCGCGTTCCCGTCCCCGTTCCGTTGCCGGGCGTCAGAGTCACTATCGTTATCGTTGTCGTCATTGAGAACCAGCGTGCGCCGACGGGGGGTGTTGTTGTTGCTGTTCGATGACGCAGCACCGGCGGGGTGGGCTTGGGCAGGCGTGGAATTAGTCCTCCGGGGCATATTAGGCGCAGACGCCATGTGCCTCAGATACGCACCCGCGCGGGAGGGTCTCGGGTGTGCAATCGGCGGCGGAGCGTGGGGGTGCGGGTGGGGGTGGTTCGCATTCGTCACCGTGCTCGGGCTTGAGCTGGGGGTATTAGATTGGTAGTGACCGTGGCCGTGACCGTACAGCGATGTCTGTGAGGGCCGGCTCTGCAGGGGCGGGCGGCGGGAGGAGGTGGATGTGTACGCGTACTGGTCCGAGGCGCGGTGCACCATAAAGTGCTTGGGCCGCTGGCCATGGAGGTCTTGCTGGGAATACTGAGACTGGGGGTGCGCGTACATGGCCGCAGGGACGGGGGTGGTGCGCCGGAGGTCACGCTGGGACGACTGGGACTGGGGGTGCGCATACATCGATACGGGCGGCGCGGGGACGGGCGTCGTCGTCGACGTCCGCGATGGGGGTGTTCGCCTGGGCGCACGCGGTGTCGGCTCTAGACTCTCCATCGAGGATGTCATTGTCGTGTAGGACGGGGACTGGGGCTCGCTAGAGGACGGGGTATTACTATCCTGGGCCTGGGCCTGCTTCTGTCTCTGCGCGAGCGGGGACACAGGGGGCGAATACGTATCCGTGTCTGGGTTGGCACTCGTCGAGCGACCCGGAGCAGGCATTAGGCCTGCCAGGAATCCGACAAAGGCGCCCATGCTGGTCCGGACGCCCCCGCGGTGGTCGCTCGGCGAGGTATGATCTCGTGCAGCGCTGGCCTCGGCGCGCTCGCCCTCAGGGGTAAACACCCTAGTTTCCTTGTACCCCGCCTCGCGGAGGAGATCCTCGAGGCGTTCGTAGGTCTTTGATTTCCCGCGGCGGTGCAATGGGACCCTGCCGAGGTCCGGGTAGCGTGTCCGCGAGCGACTGGATCGGGGAGGGGTCGACGGAGCGGGTGGGGAGGTGGACGAGGTGGATTGGGAGGTGGACTGGGTGAGACTTGGGGTGGTGGTGGTTGTGGGCGACGGGGGTGTGGCTATTATACCGTAACTTGTCTGCGGGGGCATGGGTAAGCACACTTTCGTGGAATGAAAGGGTTAAAAAAAGGGATTTAGCGTCGGCAGTGCCTCGCGGTGTGGGTTAAAGATTCACAAAAATTGCACGTAGGCCGCTTCGTAAAGCGATATGCAACCGCAAGGCCTCCCAAGGCCGACAGGGTAACATCCGGAGCTTCTTGCCGGGTCGAGCGATGCGTCTGCCCAAAGCCCAGGCGCAGTAAATTGGCTGCAGCCCGTCCATCGCTTTAGCTGTCCCAATCTCCGAGTACGCGTACGCCTAGGAGTAACACCACGATATCGGAAAACCCGCACCTTGTCATGAAAAGCCCTTCTACTGCTGCTGTCCGTGTTCGTGTTCGTTCTCGAGAGCGCGTTATCCATTAAAATAGTGCGAAAAGTCTAGTACTGGTGAGGCGGGCGTCTGTATACGTAGTTTGGGTGCCTGGCGGGACAAAACGGTGGGTCGTTGTCGTAGTTTTCGTGAGATGTCCGTCGTCGAATAGAGGCCGTGCGGGGTGCCCGCCGTTGAGCGGGAAGGATTAACAAGTGTGGGCCCTGCGATGAATGGAAATCAGGCGTATCAATGTCATGGAATGGTCGAGGGTTTGTCAAATTCAAATCGTCCCCACACCGATGCCAAAGCTGTCACGTGCTCACGTCATAGGCGATACAATACCGCCGGCCGCCCTACCATTCTACACCCTATGTTAATCATAATTCTACCAAGATATATCCCTCAAGTCGGAGGTTCCCCAAATTCACAACACCCGGTGCTCTCTTCAGTCTCACGCACGATGGTAGCCATCCCATTCAAATGAATACATATTGGTGGCTATGCGAGAAACCACAGCAGGTGAGGTGGTATTAAATAATTGTATCAAAGCAATCCAAGCCAATCAAGCCAACATCAGCAGTAGTGAACTCAATCCCGCCTCCTCACACGCATACACACCATACACCCCTCGATCCCGATCCCGATCCCGATCCCTACTCCTACTCCTACTTCTCTCCCTCACCTGGCCCGCAAACTCCGACGCAACAGAGCTCCACCCGTCGCTCCCCGCCACGCATAAGGCTCGCGATGTTCGCCGTCATACCAACACCCAGGTTCGGCGAGCGGTACAAGAAATCCCCTCGTCCGAGCCCGCCTCGCTCAGCTCAAAGTCAAACGCCGACGCCTCGAGCACCACGCGCCTTCCAGAGTCCTCCATCCAGGTCACAGGTCATACGCCTCGTACCGAGTCGCGCGCTGCCCATGCCACCGCACGTGCAAGCCACCAGAACCAGCGGGCGCAAGCGCACCCTCCCCTTGCCCTTCGCCGCGCAGGTGGTCCAGGAGGAAGAGGTACTAGGTAGAAGAACGCGACGGCGAGACACGCGCCACGCGCCGCCGCCGACACCAACAAGGTAGTGCTGCGTGAGGCACATCGTCGCCCAATACAGCAAGCACGCATACACACCGCGCGCGCCATCCCAGGGAAGGAGTGCAAGTGCGCTACGAACAACGCCTCGATGGTTGCTGGTCGCGCACGCCGCATGGAGGGACGGGAACACACCGAACACGACGGGGGCGTTGGCGAACGCGACCGAGTACGCGGAACGCGGAGGAGCGGAGCAGGGCGCAGGGCCATCGTGCACACTGTACACCGTAGTCCGGCGGCGTGAGCCCGTGGACGAGCTCGTAGTATTAGTGTTAGTAACTACCACGGTGCGGCGCAGCCTCAGGGGAGGTGGATCTGGACTATGACGTATGACGTATGACGCCGAAGAGGTCGAGGTACCCGAAGACTCAGGACGCGCGCCGAGGTCGTTGGTGCGGAAGAGCGGAAGAGGAAAACTTAGAGCCAGAGGGAGGCGGCGACGAGGAAGGGGATGGTGAAGTGTCCGACGCCGTGGGGAAGCCACGCGAGGACGTCGAGGATGGGGTGTGTGTATCCCGTGAGGATGTCGCGCTGTAGGGATGAATCGTGCGCGCGAATAATACGTGATCAACCACACGAGCGGAAGATGGGTGATGCGGGCACGAAAAACTGCGATGTGAATGGGATCAGGAGTGCGAGGATCCAGAGGGCGGGTATCCCGAACCCGGGGGCCTGGATGAGGACCAACCACTGGCAGAACGCGGCATTGAGGATGTGCAAGAGGTATACTGCTACTAGATGCTGTCCGACGCGGTAAACTTAAATAGGGTGCGCAGGCGATTCAAAGTCACAGCTGGTGAGGACGATTTGTCCAGACGAGCGACGCCGGCCACTAGTGCTTGTACCAGCGTATGCACCGTCTGTGACAAACGTCGGCTAGCCATCTGTGGGGCTTGGTGAATCTGACGAGTTTGGAATGCTGTACTCACCGTGAATGGGCCACTGGAGAAAACTCTATGTATGTAGCTTGATACCGTCTATGAACGTCTCTCCCACATTTCGTGTGAGGGGATTTCTTGAGCCTAGGAAACCTACAAGGCTGCAGTGCAAAAAGCAAAGATAGTACCTATAAGTACACCGAAGGGGAATCTAACCCCTGCCGCTTGCTGAACCATGAATGGAAGGCAAGCATGATAACCACTTCACCATCGGTGTCTGTCTTCGACTAAACCGACTAGTACTACAACTACACCCACACTAGTACGTATACTGAAGATGGGCTTCGGCTTTCTGGGACATTGACAGCCTACCCAGCGCGAATTGGGGGTTCCTGGTGCTCTGGCGGATTATGTGTTTGGTGGTTGGGATGGATGCGTTATGCGGTATCAATTCCGCACGTATTGTATTTGGGGATTTTTTTAATGCTGCGCTTGAAGGCGATCGTACGGTGTCAGAGGGGGAGAAGGCGGTATGGGCGACTAACCAACCGCGAGCTCTGCTTTCTCGGGCGAATGAGCTAATTGGGAGCTCTGCATACTGGATAGCGCACGAGGGAGAAGAGTGACAGACGATGTGGGGTGTGTGAAGTGATCTTTTACTGTCATAGTCGCAGGACGCGACTGGAATGTATGTACCTTGGGCACACCTACGTCGGCTTGTCCTTGAGGTGAGGCAAACGAATGTTAGTGCTCACGAGCTCGGGGGGAACAGAGCCCTGTTGAGCACATGTGGCTGTTTTTGGACCTCGTGCAGCTTGAATCCGAGTCTTGAGAACTGAGTATACGTATTGATGTAGAGATCAGTGACGTCCCAGGTATTGTGCCAGCTGCGGGCTACAACCTTGACGCGCAATGCCAATCTGCAGGAACATCCTGTCGAGCGCGTGCGCATGCGGCTGTCCTTACTTTCGCTCGGTGCAGTCCCGGCTTGGGTTTGAACGCTGATGTCCACGCTAGCGACGGCCAGGTATTGCGAGCTAGGAGCTTGGTGCGAGGAACCACTGCGATGTTGCAAGTTTCCGGTCCGTTCGAACTTTGAAGGCTTCATTGTCGACTTCATTGTCGGGATTTTTGATATTGTCCTCGGGACTCAAGATTAGAGTAATTTGGAGCAGAACTAGCCTCGCGTGGGCTGATGTTTGACTTTTATAAACGAGTAGGAATGAGAGTCAGAGAAAAAATGATCATCGTACAAGAGTGCGGAGGGTGAGCGTAGACCGACTTGGTCCGATCCTTCGCGTACGCTCCGTAAGCTACAAGTGGAAAAGTAGGTTCTGTTCTGAATATGGACGGAGAAAGCGAGCGTACAAGCTCATCGAGAAACGTATCGATCCCAATCATCGAACATATAGTACACCAGAGCTCTAGGAGCCCCCGCTTTGCGGCCGACCCTCGATAGTGGCAGCCAGCGAGGCAGGAGGACGTGACCAGAAAACTGGAGTGCACATGTCGTCTCGTCCTTGAAGCTTGATGTGATGGCTTGGGCAAAACGAACGATACTCGCGGGCTCAGAGAGTAGCTTCCATTTATTGGGCTATGCGAGTACTATCTTGGCGCGAGGAGGCATCGGCATCGCGATATTGTTTTTGGGTGAGTTCGAAGGCTTCCTTATCGAGTTCATGTTTATTGCTGAGATGATTGTTGTTGTGCTCAAGACCCAAGAACCGGCCCCGGCCAGAGTGCTGTATGACTTGGATTGATAGAGGATGTGTAGGAAGGAGAGTGAGAAAAAACATCACCGTGTAGAATGATCATCGTACCGCAGCCTGAGTGACTTGGGCACGCGTGTGTGTAGACCGCTCTAGACGCACTTGGCCCGAACCTCCTTACACACTGTACAGTCCGTCGAACATCTAAGGCGGGAGCACTTGTTTTTCCAATATAGCTCGAGATATTGGGCGCACTAGGAATCGGTAGGGCGCACGACATTGGCCTGTGGTATCAATACGTTATAGGCGTTGGACGCGAACGGAGGCTGCTGAGGCGAGTAACCGTAGCCTGACAGTACCAGGTTGAGAAATGACTGTGATCTGAACGCAAAACAGGCTAAAACGTGGAGCAGGGCCTCAGAGATGATAGAGACAGAAAATGGAGTGTCAACGTCAAATAACGCAATACACAGCACCACCACCACGCGGTGAACTGGACGCATAACTCTCTTGTTGACCTTGGGCATCTACTGCTGTAGCTTTCTGGGTTCTTGTGTCGACCCTGCGCTCCCGCCCAATTGTCACTGTATCATCTGACGAAGCCGGACTGGAAATTTAGTGTCCAACACGGAGTCACTGTTGTACAATTCACCTTTTTGGCTATTCAAGGTCTTGTTCCTCATAAATGGGGCCCAATTACATTGTGTCGGAGAAAGATGATGCCGGGCGTCAGCGTAGATGTGTCGTAGGTGATAGGAAGGTGTGTCCAACTCGGCATTCAACTCCGTACAGTGCTAAGCAGCGTATTAATATTTTATAGATACAACCTATATCAGACTTCAGCGGGAACACTAGTCGACGTCATGTAATAGATTTTCTTACGAAAGTTTTCCTTCCTTCTGGTTATCCGCACAGCGTTTCTTCAGGTAGTTCACATTCATCAGAAGGTTTGAATTACACGCTCAAAATATACGAATAGATTACTTCCGGTAAGGACGTCAAATGTATACAAAAGGCTAGCCACAAGCAATGAAGCTAGTTACCAGGTCCTTAATGCGCTGCAGGCGTTCTGTAACTCGCTAGCAAGTCTTATATCTTCAAGAGCTGTTCTTGAAGGTAAATTCTCCAAATTTACACTGCTCTACGGTGCATATACTCAACTGTTCGCAAGGTTTTGGAGTTGGAGACCCGTCCGCAACAGCGACACACGCCCTACTCTTAACAGTCGTACAGGACTTTTTCAGTCGCATCACAAGTCAGTTTTACAATTCAAAAATCCAATTATTCATTTCCCTGATAATTAACCTTCATTCAGCGATATTTGGCGCTTATGCATTTGGCTCCTCCCTCGTCCCAGAAGCTAAAACCTACCGGTTTCTCGCAGACGTCCTCAACGATGCTGCAGTCATCCTGGATACCTTCTCCCCTGCATTGAGTTCACCGTCTTTTCCAGTAAAAATACCAGGTCTTCGAATTAGCGCTTTGTGTTTAAGCGCATCATTTCGGGCGCTGTGTGGTATTGCCGCAGGGGGCTCTAAAGCCGCCATAACGCTGCATTTTGCAACCCCAGTCAATGGGAACGGCGATGTTGGTGATCTGAATGCTAAGGACTCGAGCAAAGAGACTGTGCTTGCTCTATTTGGCATGCTGGTAGGCTGTTTCTGTAATCACACAGATAAGATCCATCATTCTAATGACAATGAACCTAGCTTGGCACATTTATCGTCCCGAAGCTGACTTCTCCTGCGACGATCTACAGTGCGCTATTCATTCTAGTCGGCCTGCATCTCCTCATCAACTATCTCGGCGTGCGCGGGCTCGAGTTGCGATCCCTCAACCGCCAGCGCGCGGGAATTGCCTGGCGCGCGTACCGACTGTCAAGTGGCGTGAAGGTACCATCGCCTGCCGAGGTGTCAAGAGCTGAGAATATTCTGGGAAGACCTGATGTTTTCCGCGACGACAGCGGACGCATTATAGGGCGTTGCACTATCGGCTCTTCTTTCGCCGACGTCTTTCACGATCACTTCCCTGCTCCCCTGTTGGACATCTTCAAACACGAGCGGTACCTGTTGTGGTATGATCATCAATGTCTGTATCGCATCCCTGGGCGAGAAGGCCAGCACGTTCACAGCGCAGCCCTACACCTGCATATACTGCTTAAAGACGGCTATAGCGCCCACGATCAGCTCAAAGCATGGATCCATGCTTCGGATCTCTGTCAAGCAGTTTCATCAGCGTCTTCCAACAAAGAGCCTGACGACAAGAGCGACGACGCTTTGTCGCTGATCCAACGAACGCTTCAAGGATCTACTCAGGGGTTCCCTGATTTCATTGAGAATCTCCGTGGCGCTGGATGGAGCGTAGAAGACGTTGCCCTCATGCCTGGCTCACCCAAAGCAGTTCTGACGGGCGTAGAACAGACAGAAGAAGTTGTTGAAGAAAGTAGGAAGATCCGTTAATAGCCCATTATCTCCTCGTAATGTTCTGCCCTCGTAATACTACTTCTGCATGCGCTGACTGTTCAACTGGTTTCCGTAGCCAATGTGTAATATTCTCATTGCCCTGTTTGCAAGAACCACCTCGCAACTTTTTAAAATCTTCTCACAGAGTTTGGGGTACAAACACTTTGGACCAGGGACCCCCTAGTCCCTCCTGTCAAACTGAAAGTGATTCTCTACTCTCGGTGTCCGGCCCTGCAGAATTCTTCAACGATTTCAGCCCAAGTCTCGAGGCATCGTTTACGCCGGTTAACCTCCCGCAAGCATTGTATCGTCGATGCAAATTCCTTTTCTTAAATCTGCTCAGTACATATGCACATCCGACACTTTAAGCCCCCAGATTACCCTGCCAAGGCTCCCAGTACCGGCGGCGGTCCACGGGGCTGACGAGTTTTGCCGCCTCAGGCGCTTAACTTGTCCGACCATGTTTGGGGACGACGGGGGGTGGGGCTGCTTGGTTTAACATGATTTTACTACCACTTCTGTTCTGTAATTCAGGATCTAGCCGTAACGAACTTCATCGAAGGAGAAATTCTCAATCATCGCAGATGCTTTCTCAAATCTGATCATCGTCATCGCACGGATGCGATTCTTCAATATGCTCTGCTGGTTCGGATCTCATTTTGCACTCGAGTTTAGAGGTTATTCTCCGACTTATCTTCCAATCGCACTCACTCGTGCAGCAACCATGATGCACCAATTGGGTAAATCTGTGATGGGCACACCAGAACTGGATAAACTTCGCAATATTCGATTAGAAAAGTTGTCATCTTTCATACTGGTTTAGACTTGCTTCTGATCTATTTTTGTTTTCTACAGTGCGGTCCGACACCCTCCTGGTACGTCGGTCTTCCTCGTTGAGACTGCCATCTTATGCTTGCGCTCTGCTTTATTCAGATTCATTTTGCACGTTATTCTTCTCACTTCACGGGCCATAAATCACTTTGTCACAGTTAGATCCTGCGCTCACGGATGTTATACATACTACATACTAGGGTGCCATCCTCTTACCAATCTCAGACCTTGGGCATCTCCCTCACAAGACCATGACTAATAGCGATTCCAAACTA